TATTGCCTTGACTTCTCTCTTCTTCTTTCCTAATTCTTAAAGGCCCAGTACATTCTCAAGCCAATATAGTGCTTAAAATTAGTGCTACACAATTTTGTAACCAATTAGATACTACCCTGCATTGGTCACTGTTATTATGTTTTTTCTCCCTAACTAGATTTTAATCTCTTTATGATATGTTTTATACTTTTTTAAAAAAATTTTTTGTGAGGAAGATCAGCCCTGAGCTAACACCCATGCCAATCCTCCTCTTTTTGCTGAGGAAGACCAGCCCTGAGCTAACATCTATTGCCAATCCTCCTCCTTTTTTTCCCTTTTTCTCCCCAAAGCCCCAGTAGATAGTTGTATGTCATAGTTGCACATCCTTCTAGTTGCTGTATGCAGGACGCCGCCTCAGCATGGCCGGAGAAGCGGTGGTCAGTGTGCGCCCCGGATCCAAACCTGGGCCGCCGGTAGCGAAGCACGCGCACTTAACCACTAAGCCACTGGGCTGGCCCCCCACCCTTTTATTTTGGTGAGGAAGATCAGCCTTGAGGTAACATCCGATGCTGATCCTCCTCTTTTTTGCTGAGGAAGACTGGCCCTGAGCTAACATCCGTGCCCATCTTCCTCTACTTTGTATGGGATGCCGCCACAGCATGGCGTGACATGCGGCGCATAGGTGCCGCACCCAGGATCCAAACCTGCGAACCCCGGGCCACCGAAGCGGAGCGCCGGCACTTAACCACTTGTGCCACTGGCAAGCCCTATACTTCTTTAGTATAGCTCATGGTGCCTAGAACCATCATTAGTGCTCAACAAAGACACTGATTGGTTCATTGAGGGAATCAAACCACTGTTCTAAAGAAACACATTTTTATTCTGTCTTCATTACTGTAGATACAACCATTTCTTAGCAATAGCTTGAGTTTAAATTGTCTTCTCTTATACTTTGGCCAGTTAAGAACTCAAGCATCCTCTAAATTACAAAGGAGGGTCAGCCCCATGGCTTCGCGGTTTAGTGCACGCACTCCGCTGCTGGTGGCCCAGGTTTGGATCCCGGGAGCGCACCGACGCACCGCTTCTCTGGCCATGCTGAGGCCGCATCCCACATACAGCAACTAGAAGGATGTGCAGCTATGACATACAACCATCTACTGGGGCTTTGGGGGAAAAAAATAAATAAATAAAATTATAAATTACAAAGGAAATGGAGATTTGTTTATCTTGAAACTAACAAAAGGTTAGGGTGCCCTTTTGGACATTTGACATAGCAGCTAACGTATCCAGAAGTTAACCTTTTGGCCAGTGTGACAGCTCCCATCATTTTATGACGTTCATCCCTCAAAACACGATCCTGCAATTTAGGGGTTCTGCCACCAGATGGTGATGGGGCACCTTGGGCAGGGTTACACAACCCAGACTATAAGACATCTGCCAAATATTCTTAGTTCAATAATGATATTTACAGAACATATTTTTAAAAAATTCATAAGGATTCTTTGTTACCTTCATAACTTATTAATTACTATTCATCATGGCTTTAATATCTTTCCCAGATAATCATTAGATACACCTCTCTATCTGATTTTGTAACTCATCTTTAAGTCAAATTACTCCTGGACTTCATAAACAGTTCTGGAACTTCATTCTATTTGGACATGAAAAGCCCTTGCAAAATCTTCCCAGCCAGGCACGGGGCTTCAGCCAGTGAAAACACCCCTTTAGCACGGTCTTCTCTTTAGCTTCCTCAAAACTCTCTTCACGTGAATGCGGGGGGAGGCAGGTAGGGGAGGTGAATAAAAGAGCAGCCCAAACAATGGCCCTAACAAATCCATTAAATCAGGAGGAGGGAATTTTTAACTTTAATCTAAAGCATCATCTTAACTTATATGAAAAAATAAAAGAGAAAACCAACACCAAAATAGAACAAACACTTGTGTTAAAACAAGGGTTTGAACTCCCCAAATTCCCTTCTACAGAACTACCCATTCCAACTGAAGTTTCTAAGAGACTAGAGCTACAAGTTTCAAGAGGTTTTTGAATAAGGCTTTAATTGGTTTCTCAATTCCCCTCAACTTCTACTTTTGATATTTAGTCTTCTCAGTTTCAACATGTTTAGGTGGAAAAAAAGACCATGTTCTGTGCTGCTCAGCTGCCCTGGTCACCACAAGGTCCTCTGGCCTGCACCTGAGAACTGACCTCGGATTTGGGGTCATCAACACCCCCACTGTCTCATGTCAGGAAAGAGACTTCCCTTTTATGTTCCTCGTTATTTGTAGAATGTTCCCTTTCCTTATGTTCTAAGGGAGGATAAGTGAGATCATCTATAAGTTTTAAGAAAATTCTTACAAACTCAAGGCTAGGTATTCATCTTAATACATTCCTCTTGGAGGAGTTGCCAATCCATCTCCTGCAAGTGCTCTCCAACCTAGGCACACCTACAGATGGTTCAGAAAACTCTGGGGCTCATTAAACATGACTCCTCAAAATCTTTTTCACTTTTCTCCCCAAGCAGCAAGCCAAGTCCTCATATTGATTTTCTGAACTTATGATATAAAGGGTGTTATGGACTAAATGTTTGTGTTCTCCCAAAATTCATATGCTGAAATCCTCACCCCCAAGGTGATGGTGTTTGGAGGTGAGGCCTTTGGGAGGTAATTAGGTCATAAGGATGGAGCCCTCATGAATGAGATTACTGCCCTTATAAGAAGAGGGTTTGCTTCCCCCCTCTCTCTCTCCTCCTCACCATTTGAGGACACAAGGAGAAGATGGTCACCTGCAAACCAGGTAGGGGGCCCTCACTAGACACTGGATCTGCTGGCACCTTGAACTTGGAATTCCAGTCTCCAGAACTGTGAGAAATAAATATTTGTTGTTTAAGTCACCCAGTCTATGGTAATTTGTTATAGCAGCCAGACCAGACGAAGACCAATGGAAAGACCTGAGAAACAAACTTGAAATTCCCAATGCACTTGAAATAGAATCCAAATGCCTTACTCTGGCTTAAAGATGCCAGATACTCTGGCTTAAAGGTAACACTGCTGCCGATGCTCCATTCTCACCGCACACCAGCCTCTGTCTTTGTGCACCATGTACCAGCACTCAGATCCTTGACCCACCAAACTCTTCTCTGCTTCTGTTGTTTCTATCTTGAACATCCTTCCCACCTCCCCTTTCAGGTCTCAGCAAAAATGTCCTTTTCTCAGTCTGCTCTGATAACCATTTCTAAAGCAGCCTCCTTGCCAACTCTGCCCAATCACTGTTTACCCGACGACCCTGTTTCTTTCTTTCATGGCCTTTATCACTACCTGAAATTGTCTAGGTTAATTATGTGGTTACTTGTTTATCATCTTTCTCCCTCTATGAGCACGGAAGCTCCAGAAAGGCAGGAGCTTGCTGTCTTGTTCACCACAGCATCTTGCCAATGCCTAGACAGTGCCGAGCACAGGGCAGGCATTTAATAAGTATTTCTTTAACCACTTACTCACATTGTGACTTTCAATTTCTTTCCCCACAAACCATGTGACCAGTACTACAAACCAATAAGAGTTAGCATAGTTTCCCATTTTTTCCTACCTCTACTTCTGAGAAAGGTCTGCAATGAGAGGGCTTCACTGCTGGAAGCAACAGGGAGGAGAATCAGAGGCTGAGGTTTTCTGAGGCTTAACCTCATTGTCACGTTAGAATTAAGTGTCCACACCTGTGGACACACCTGTGAGTCATACACACCTGTGAGTATTGCTGGGTTAGTTCCTAAAGTCACTTCTCCACGGCTCCTTCAACTCTGGTTTCCCACAACTCTTCCTAAAGCCCCGGGATTTGTGGGTTTGGACTCTGAAGACAGAGAGACCCAACTTTGAAGCTCGGCTCTGCCACTTACTAGCCACATGACCTCATACTTCTCAAGCCCCAGCTTCTTCATATATAAAATGGAAATGACAGTAGGACCTACCTCATAGGGTGGCTGTGAGACTAGATGGATAATTCAAACAAAGGACTAGTAAAGTGTGGTGCACAGAGCACCCCACAAACAGTTATTATCCCATCCCACCCCCACGTTCAGCCCCTCCCTCTGGTAACTTTCCATGGTTACTTTTATCAACTGATGTCAGTTTTAGCTCAGGCTCTCTGCAGAGTTGTGGAACACAGAAAGCTAACCAGCACACACGACTCTCAAATAATCAGGGCGTGTGTTCTGGACAGAAGGAAAAGACCTTCTCCCACCTTTGAGATTTAATACACCTCTTGTTATGCAGCCTGCAACCGGCACGAGAGTTACCAGGTGGACTCATTGGGTGTTTTTGTTGGACTCAGATAAATGGGGCTCTCTCCTGATCTCAGGCCCAAGCACGTAACGGTTTGTAGAACGCTAGCAAACAAAACAGATAAAATCTATCAAAGCAAGAGAAAGGAGGACATTTTAGAAGGTTTCTGTGCAATACCAGTCTCACTGAGGGGTATGAAGAAACAGCTCCCTCCTCTTTAATTACAAGGCTGCGAACATTGCTGCCTCCCTCCACTGCATTTGCCAAGTGGTTCTCTCCAAATAGCTCAGTGATGTCAAGGGGCGTAGTAGTTACACAAAGGATTTTCAGCTAACATACAGGCAGAATTCTGTTTTAGACTTAAATATTAAGAAGTGAAAATAAACTATCATACGTAAAATCATAGCATGGTTTCTTCTATATACTTGGTTTATTAATCACATGCAAATTTATCTTGAAAAAACAAAATCAAACTGGTGCCTATGGCGGGGGATCCAAAGGAAACAGTGCTGCTTTTTAATTCCCTATTGCTTTGTGCCTCAATTTCCCCACCCAAAAAATGGGTATCAGGAGATCTTAAAAGATTGACAAATAATGAATAGTAATCAAGCTAACTGAAAACAGGGTCCTTATAAAGCCAGGGAACAACCGCCACCCAGCATTACCTGGGGGAATGGGATGCACATCCTGTCCCGCTGCCCCAGCCAACTCTGCCCCTGGGCGTGAGGGGATGGCCCTCCCGGGGGGTGTTACCTTCACAAACTGCACATCGCTGAGGATGTGGACTGAGTAGTCGGGCGTGTAGAGGTTGTTGCTGCTGCTGCACAGCTGGGTGTTGCTCCCCCCAAAGTCACTGCGCTCACGGTTGGGAGACTCGGAGCGGTTCAACCCGCTGCAGCGAGAAGGGGATCGGTTTACTGCAGATGGTGCGGGAGGGGAGAGGGAGGAAGGCAAGGAGGGCGGGTGGGGAGAAAGGAGAGGGAAACGAAAAGAGAGAGAGAGGTGTTGTTTACTGAGGCACCACGGGACTGTTAGGCAATGGTAACACCGAATGGCGGAACCAGGCCCTCACCCCCCATCAGAGCCCAGCTGCTCCACTGATGTTTATTCCTGTGAGGAGCAAATACCTAAGACAGGAACTCATGGCTCCACTCTGCTCAGGCTCTTCCTGTTCCCCACGACCTCTACCAGGGAGGAGCAGGGGCAGAGGTGGTCCACTGCCTTTCTCATTTCTGGTCTTTGGGTTAAGTGCAGGAGATGAGGACTGTGCTGTGAGTGTGGTTAGCTACCCTAGACCCTGAGACCCCGAGATCTCCTACCAGAGTGATTTTATATAAACTTAATTCACAAACTTATTTTAGAAGGGCCAAGGCCCTAAGTTTGCCCTCAAAACCCCCTGTCCCGGCACAGATAACCAATCCTCCCCGTGGTGAGGCATTTTAGTGGGCATAACTCAGGTCTGCCCCAACAGCAGCAGGGCCCGGGACAAGCGGAGGCCCACAAACTACATATTTAAATCACATTAATAAACTGTTAAAATATGTTCTTTGTCCTTGACAAACATACCTTTATAACAACCTAGAAGGCCAGGTCCAACTCCTTAGAGTTTTGTGCCAGAAAATAGGGCTGTGTGGGGAGAACCAGCCCCCAGCCTCGGGCTTCCTGGGTCGCTTTCCCCAGGGCTGTCTGGGTGGGAATTCCGGGATTCTTGTATCTGAAATATGCTCTAGAGGCAAGAATACATCTCTGGGTGGGCACATCTCTTTGTCCCTGCAAACTCCTCACCCCACAGAGAGGGCCAGGGCTGAGGTGGGCCAAAGTGGGGCCCTCTGAAGTATGGGTCTAGGGCAGGGCTCCCTCTAGGCCTAAGTAGGGGGACTAGAATAACCTAGAGGCTTTCTGTCAAAGGCCTCCTAAATGTTCAGACTCAGGTCCTTTTTCCATTTTCAAGAACCACTTCTTGGGAATGTTCAATTAAGACCATGTCACTTGGTTTCAAAATGGACTATGTGAACTACCTTCCCCAGGATCAATAGAAGAGAGGTTCTTAAGGTGACCCTAGCATTATCTTAACGACAGAATAACCCCAGATGAGAGACTGTGAAGCCCCATCCACCCCTCTCCTTCCCAACTGATGCTGCTCTGCATTTCTTCCCCCAAAAAGGGGGAGGCTGTCAGCCTCTCATAACATAGGTTTAGTTCAGGGGCTCAAATGAAGAGTTGGATTTCTCAGAGATTCTGTTCCTTGTTCTTTCAGGGTAGAACCTTGGGAATTTAATTCTGTTTCTTGAGATAATGCTGCCATCAATCAAAATATTTGATTAGCATCAATTTGGAATGAGTCCTGGAGGGCTGATGATCTGTTTAGCTGCCAAGCTGTTATTGTCTGGCAAACCACTTAGTGGAAAGATTAAAATAACAATAGATTGAATCACTTTCTCATTAGAACCATAATAATCACTGCCTTGATAGGATTATAGAATTAAGGATTCCAATTCCAGTCTTCCCCTTCTCAGTAAATGTCATTCACAAACCTGGGGGTCACCCTTGACTCCTGCCATTCCCTCAGCCCCACATCAAGTCCTCTTATCTCCACTTCCCACATAATAAGCCCATCTGCCTCTATCTCTGTCTCCACTCAAGTCTGAGTTACCATCACCCTCGCCTGGACCATGGTCTGTCTCCCCACTTATAATCATATAGTTTGTTCTCACCTCAGCTGCCAGAAGCACATTTAAAAAACACAAATAAGCTTCCTTTTATTCAGTCTGAATAAAATCTAAACTCCTTGCTTTGTCCCCTAAAGCCCCCCATGACCTGACTCCTGCTTTCCCGTCTGATGTCATCTTGGGGCTCCTTCCCCCTCCCCTGCTTGCTCTGCTCTAGCCCACTGGCTGCCTTGGGATCCTCAATCAGGCAAGCATCCATGGAAAAGCAGATGCCATTTCCCCTACTCCCCTCTCATCCCCACCTCCCCTGCTTGCTTCTCAGTCATTAGGTCTCAGCTGAAATGCCACGTTCTCTGAAGACTTTGGCCACCCTAAGAAGATTCCCCCTGTTTTCCTCTATCACTTCCCCCTATTCATTCCTTCAAAGTACTTTCTATAAGTTTTAATGAATTACACATTTGTACTTATTTGTTATGTCTACTCAATTCAACTCTAAATTCCATGATGGCAGAGACCTTGTCTTTTCACATCATTGTACACCTCGTACCTAGCACACAGCCTGGCAGAGCAGGTGCTCAATAAAAATGTACAGAACGAATGAATTAGCACCTAAGAGTCCCTTAAGGAGTTTTTATTTTGAATCTAAATTTTGTTTAAAAAAAGGTTTCAGAGCTCTCAAATCACCCTGGAATCCGAAGCCTTTCCTCTGCAACCTAAAGTCATTCTGGGGAAGCTGGCTTCTCCAAGAAGCTAGGAGTGGGCAGAAGAAAACTGCAGAAATGCAGCTAGAGAGAGATAAATAGTGTGCAATGAGAATCAAAGGGCACTGAGAAGCTGCAGGCCTTGGCCCAGTACCTTGTGGAAGGGCCATAGGGAGAATCAGGACTTTGTGTTTGTTTATTTGTCTGCTTAACAAGAGGTTGGAGGTCCTGGAGTCAGTCTCTAGGGTCCCACTTATCCACTGGGTGATGGAGGACAAGACCCTCCCCCAGAGTGACCAAGGACTGAGAGGGACAGTGACGGTGCCACGAATAAAGTGAAGCACCAGGTGATTGTAAATGGCAGTAGTACTGGGGAGACAAATATGCATTTCATTTCTGGTCCTGGTCGCTTGAAAACAAATGGATGAGTTCCGGCTTGGCTAGACCCTTTGTGGCTGTTCTAAGGTGGTGGCTGGCTAAGTAAGTCAATGGTGCTTCCTCAGGGCTAGTTGTTGTGGAAAAGAGGGGCAGGCAGTCCTGCAGGAGAGTGGCTTCTTTGGTCTGTAAGTGGAGTCTGGAAAACTAGACCTTGACCTGGGGTGTCTTATCCTCAACTCAGTTTGGAACAGGGGAGAGAGTGTGAGCAGGTCCCGTGGCTTCAGTTACTCTTAGAAATAACCATCGCTCCTTGATAATCCTCCTGGTTGGACATGTGCTTCACAAACCCCACATCTGCTGTACCACATCCTGAGGCCTATGTCACAATTCAAGATAAGTTCAGGGAGGGTGAGAGGGAAAGACAGCCCTTTCTTATCTACTAAACAACTTCCATCCATAGAAGGTTCTGCCTGAATCACTTCCACCCTCCATTGGAAAAGAAGCAACAACTACATCTCTGTTCCCCAAAAAGCTCTCATCCTCACTGGCTCTCAGCACAGGCACGTCACTCTGCTGTCACTCACAGGGACCTGCATGTCAAACACAAGCGATAGCACTGCTGTACTGGGAGGAGAAACATGGTTTGCTTTTTTTTTTTTAAAGTAAAAACAATGCTATTGAAGCTTTATTCATACAGTCCCAAAGGATTCCCAACATCAAAAGACATAACTGTCTTACAATCGGGTCTATAAAAACATTTTAAAAGGAAAAGGAATCCTCATTTCATGACAAAGTCCCAGCTCATCTGACTATTGTGCAAGATCAATGTTTTCATGTCCCAGAGCCTGACATTCCTCAATAGGTGGGATGCTGATGACTCGGCATTTTGGTAATTGTGTACATACATTCAGAGGTTTCTGAGCAAGTGAAATGGAAATGCTTTTAATGAAAAAAAGAGAAGAAATCAGTAACAGACGAGTATCCCAGCAGCATGGCAAACTAGTTCAAGTTGTATAATTCCCCTTGGCATTTCCTAAGAGCACAGAGGCACAGCTTGGGGGAGTGAAGTAAGGAGAAAAATCCTAAGTATACTGCAAAGAGGTCTAAGAGGGGATAGACCAAACAGTGATGCGTAATACTGACCACAGGACCCCTCAACAGGAGGGAGGCTAAGCAGCCAACATACCCCTTGCCCACTGTTGCTCTTACATCACACCCTCAAGCTGGCCCTGGAGAGACTGGGTGGTGGGGAGCAGGGTTTTCTGCTCTAGACGCCCAAGTGCTGTGGAGAAGTGTGGTGGACCTCATTTCCTGCGGCCTTTGCATGGCCAGTCTGCAAGAGATATCTGTCCTAGATGGCAAGTTGGGGTTATTGAGGTTGGGTGGAGAAGACACTGGAGTAAAATTGGGGTTGGGGTGGGAGATGGGGTGGAAGAGGATTTTACACTGTAATAGGGGCTGGATGGAATCTCCTCTCACTCTGCACTGATATGCAGGGGCCCCAAAAACCTATACACAGCTCTGGGACTCCGCTTCACTCATGACACCTGTATCTGGGGAGCAGGATCCATGTTACAGAAGAATGCCCCATTCCCTTTTTCAGTCTGGGGAGTGGAGGGGAAAGTAGGGTTCAGTGGCTGCATGTTTGCATCTTTTGGAGCCCCAGTGAGTAACAAGGGGGACCAGCCCACTTTGGTCATGGTCACTGTGCCATAGGCCACCCATATTCTCCAAACTGGATGGGGGAGTTTAATTACATAGGCTTATTAGAGTACAAACTAGGGTTATTAAAATTCATCATTCTGGGGTAATATTCAACATCAGACAACCAAATGCCAAAAGCTCTCTGTCAAAGCTACAATGTGAACTCTGCAAATCAGCCCAAGTCAGGAGCCCAGATGAACTCGCTCACGTTACATGGAGCTTTAATGGTTCCCAAATGTTTACTATGCAAGAGCCAACCCAAAGGAAAATTTCCACTTACCACATTTCACAAAGTAAAAAGATTATTTTTAGGGACTTCCTGTATATTCTGGGAGAAACCTCTATCCTTGCCAATTTCAAAGCACATTACAGACGGACAATCGAGCAAACCCTTGCTCCCGATGCCTCTCCCTGCTCTCGACCTCTCTCCTGCCTCTGTGCTTTTGTGGATTTGGAAGGATTGTC